AGCAAGTTGACTCCCCATCTGGTTGATGTTAACTGCGCAGGAGTACTTTAGTGGGTGTTTTTAGGTAAGCATTATTCGATTTTGCAAAGAGTTTTTTGCTTCGGGACGTGCCAATATCAATCGATTCTTTACATTAATGCCATAATTTGAAACAGAATTTTACGTTATTTAAATTGAAAACTACCATTTTTCTCTTTTCAATTTCAGGAAAACACCCTAATGTATATCCAATGTTTAATGTCAAAACTCAAGGTATGATTCAAAAACTGGTAATTAAATACTGAAAACAACTGGAACGATTCACCCACATCATCGCAGCCAAGTGCATATTGTCCAAAGGTATGCATCATATATTGGAAATAGTTAAACAAAATGCTGTAAGATACTTCAGCTAACAATTGTTGGCGACCAAGATGACCACGATAGCGACAGCGATGATGACTACATTTACGTTCTGGACGTGTCCAATCAAGGGAATTTTCAAGTTTATGTAGGATTATGGTTTTAATAAATAATGTTATTTGTAACGTTCTGTTGCTTTGCTGGGCTTTGAGACGGGCCCAAAATAAATCGTGTACATATTCGTACCAAGCGTATACGCTTGGTATTTACGGTGAAAATGGCTTCTTGGGCAAGAATTTCCACATTATCCTGTAGTATTTCCTGAAAAGAACTAAAATAATTTATATTTTTTAAGAATAATAAATTAATGCATTTTCTTATTTTGGAAAATTTTATTTACTCCGATTAAAAAAGTCTAAAATCACCTATTAATTTATGCAAATTTTATGTAAATGTATTATTCTAATAATATTAGATTAATATTAGTTTGAGTTTAGATTTAAATTCTATCAAAGGTTCTGAACCAACACACATTCCAAGGTGTCTGTATTGTGTTCCCACCCCTACTTTGTCATGTAGTACAAATTGACTTTTCGAAAACAAAATAAAAAAAGTATCGTAAATAAATTGAATTTTATGATAATTCAAATTACATGTGACATGGTCCAGATATGCCAAAGAGACACATTTCTAGTTCAAACCTTTGCAGAAAATTGATTTGTTGGTTTGATTATTACAAAATGAACTAAGTTATATTTTGAATGATTTACGATATGCAATGAAATTATATACCTTTTTTGGCTTGAATTAAATTGAAGACGGGGAATCTGGACAAAATGTGAACCGAATGAGAGCAACGTCATCTTTTCACCAGCATTGAAAGGTACAGATCAAAAGCATGAAACGAGTAGAGCTGCCAATTAAATTTGAACGTTCAAGTCGAAAATTGTCAAGTATTCGTGTTATTTCACGTTCAGTTTATTTTGTTCGAAATAACTGATTTCAAATTAGAACGATGGTGTTCGTGTTCATTCGAGGTCATGTTGTGTTGACGATGTCGTATCAAATCTTTTCCGTTGAGTAAAGATTTATTATCGTTATAGAATCTATACAGTAGACATCTTTTAGTATCAGTGGACCTGAGAAGTAACCATCTTGGGGAATCTGAATTTCAAATGCGAAATTATTAATACGACATCGAAACTAAGACCCTGGATCACAGGGGAAGAGGTGAAAATGCTAATTTCCCCTTCTTCTGCTCTTAATACCGCTTCCATAATTTGAAAATACTTCAACACTACACGGAATTATTACAATTGACCAAGGCCACATTGTTCCTTACGAAATGGACAACTGTTCAATAATAGACTTTCAAAAGTTAAAAGATTTTGTTTTTAGAGTGATTTTTTGATTGGCTCTCAGGAACGGATCTTCCGTCTAAAATTGATGACATTCGGACTTTTCCCAATTGAAATATTCCCCCATCACATGAAACGTGATTTCTTTGGCGTAGATTCTAAATAGGACCTGCGTTCGATTGAAAAATATGGTTTCAAACAACGTGGAAGTTTAGCTTCAGAACCTCTGGCATTTCATTCTTATTATTTAATTCTAGAAAAGTAGAATTCGCTTCTCGACAGTTTTACGACAAATCGGGCATCCATCTATTTGATCACCACACATTTGACATGTACCATGACCACAGAGAAATACCATATTCTTGATTCGATCAAAACAAACTGGGCACATTGTCTAGAAAGAGAAGAATTAAATATTTTAATTAATATATAGTATAATTCCGTTTTCCACGGCGTTGGAAAATATACTTATCAACTATTGAGCAAAACGAATCAAAAACAACTATATCGGTCAAAAAAAATTATACATCCCAAATTTGGACGCCACATCTTAAAAGACGTAATTCGCGTATTTTTGCATGTCTTTTTTTCGACGTGAAAGACGTACGTCTCTTGCGCTATACAGAGTGGTGTGAGGGATTTTCGATTATACAATACTGCCTTTTCTTCTTATGCATTGTATTGCGTTTAAAAATGGCAATACCATGTAAAGTGCAAACATGCCGAGAATAATTCCAGCGTAAATATAGTGAAAATACTGCTGTTTTAATGAATGAATATTCGTCTGTGCGTAGTGAGTGAGCGTTCGTCGCTGTGAATGAGCGGGCGCTATACATTCAAGCGACGCTCACTCACTACGCACACACAAAAATATATATTCTCAAAACTAGATGGCGCCTCTTCTAAAACCCGTATTCAGATGATGTTTCGTTTAATTTCACATATTTCGTTTAAAATGTCATACTAGTAAACGTCATAACAAACTAAACGAAATATGAAAAATGTAACGAGATGTCATCTAAATACGGATTTTAGATGATGCGCCATCTAGTTTTGAGAATTTAATTCTTAGTGGGCACAGACGAATATTCATTTTGTGAAATTTCAGTATTTCCGCTATATTTATGCTGAAATTATTCTCTGCAAATATGTGAGACGTCGACTTCCAAATGCCTAAGGACGTTCAATAAAGTATCACTCAAAACCTCTGAACGGAATTCATATTCATATTCATATTTGAGGTAGTTATGAGGAAAAACGCGTTCTGATGCACTTTTACCCCCTTAAAATGCAAATGGGCAAATAAATATTAGCCCACGAAATTTAAGACCAGGGCACAACTTTACTTTACAGAACTTTTTGGAATATGAATATTTTTTTGATTTTGTTTTTGCTCTGGATTGCTTATGGTCACTACATTTCATTTCTAGGGTGCGATTTGCAATTTTATGATTTACCGTTATTTTTTGACAGGTGTGCATTTTTCAGTATGTAAGCCTATAAATTCTCAGCCGTTGCAAATAAAGCATTAATCACTGAAGCAAAGTTTTAGTACTTCATTAGAGCTATGCAGCGCACTGTACCAAAATGAACTAATCTGTACGAATTTGTACTAAATTGTACTAAATTTGAAAAAAATGGTTCTGGTGCATTTCCAGAGATTCCTAACAATTTTGGGAGGCAGATTTGCTATAAAAGGTGAATCGATGAAAGTATTTATTCAGTCTTTTAGTGACTGGGAAACTGAGAACTTCTAATAAAGAATGATCAGAAACAAAAGAGATCTTGTTTTAAATAGATAGTTCTTTCCCAAAGACTCAAACTAATATTGTTAATACCATCAACAATATTCGTTCCTTCACTGGCGAGTCACCGGCAAACCTACCTCCGGACCCACACCCAGCATTAAACTGCTGAAACCGATATTAAATTATCGTGAACGGCATTAAATTGTCACAACTTGTTAACCTTCAAGCCAAAAAGTTGTAGCATCGACAAACCAAGGACAGCGAAGCTGGAAGTAAAAAAGACAGAGAGTCACTGACATCTCTCTGGACCCACATAGAGCATTAAATTGCCACAACCAGCCAATCACCAGCACTCCCATCTGTCGAGCAAAAAAAAGGAGCATTAAATTGCCAAAATCAACGAGTACCCAACCCTCCAACCTGTCGATCCACAAGGAACCATTCAATCGTGTCATCAAACTCCAGCCATTAAATTGAACTGGTCAACACCATTAAATTGGATCGTTGTTAAAGCTTCAACCCAAAAAGCTGAGGATCGATAAATGGATAACCCATCAGCCCTGAGTCCATAAAGTCAGAGAACTGACACGAACATCGTGTAAACCATACAACATCTTCTACGACCAGCACAAACTCTCCGCTTTAAAAGTAATAAGGAAAATCCAACGTTCAAGTACTCCAAAGAAATTCGGGTCAACTCATCGGCACATACCCGTGTAGCCACAGCAAATCAAAGATTTCTTCACTGTTAAGCTTCAAATCAAAAAGCGGCGACCATCAGAATATCGTCATCAATAAGAAGAAACGACAACACACGCGAAGAGTGAGACAAATCTACAACGCGTTAATCAGAAAAATGTTCACCGCTACGAACTCTCCTCTTCGAGTGGAACAAATAAAATTCGAGTGAAACCCATCGTCATATCCTCGTGTGACAACCCAAATTGTTAAACTTCAATCCAAAAAGTTGTAGTAAAAATCAAACTTCAATGACGACCTGAAGGCCTCGTCAACCAATCAACGTGGAAGAGTATCTACATCGACCAAAATCCAAAAATGATGTCCATGAGAAGACCTCTAGGATACATAGAGAGAGAGAAAACCACAGCCCAAACAAATCTTCAGTGGCGAAGAGAAAAGAGACCACAAGCAAAATCGAATCTTCAGAAGAGAAGATCAAACCACCATCAAAAAACAGAGTAATTTCGACTCAACAAACTCTGACTAACATGAGTGAAAAGTTGAGACCCTGATGAAATAATCAAAACCCATGAATGCACCAAAGCTACCATCAACAACGATGAAATCACCGAAGAGCCTGAACAAGGGACGTCCTTCCAACAACTGAACCACCGCCATGTTTCAATCAACGCAACCAACAACTTCTGCCCGATTAGCAACACCACATCAACAACAGACCAGACCATCTAGAAAGAAGAAATGTCAGCATCCCAAGAAGAGACCTTCTGAAAACCTCTTCCGCTGGAAGAAAAACATCGCTTCACGAAAAATCAACAAAGCCACAACCAGAATGTGTAACAGACATCAGACTACGCCGTAATAACAGAAGAATAGACGACAACATTCAAGAAGTTCCAACAACATCATGCTCCAGTGCCAAGAAACTCATCTTTAAAATCACCATCGACACTACGATAACCAAAATTTGAAAAAAAATCGAAATGTAGAACACTAGAATGATGGTTTCCGCTGTATCGAGCCAAAGATATTCTGAGCCCACTACAAAGAATCAAAATTCGATGCCAGATGCGAACCGCTGCCATTCATAACCAACAAATCATCAAGACACGTCATGATAAAAGCTTGAGATAAGAAATAGCAGCCAACGATCTCAAATATGAACAACAACGCATGAATCGAATCATAATAACTGAGACATATGGCAAACCCATCATCGATGATGTCCCGAAAAAATGTTAATTCCATCAATCGAGACTTAATTTTGAAGAATGTGAAGAAGGGTAATATGAACCCTTCCGCTGTTACATCCCAACTGCATCATCTCACCATCAACAGACATTATGTCATCTGTTGGTACCAAACGTTTCGATGAGAATCGTGAGCATAGCAACAAAGAAAGCCGAAACAGTGTAAAAACAAAAATCAATGAAGTCCCAATCAAACCCAAGATTGCCTACTTCAAGTAAAATATACACCAAAGGGAACTATGCGAATTGAGGACAATTCAATTTGAAGAATGTGAAGAGTGAAGGGAGCAGACGGAAGCGTATAGCGGACGATATGGTCACTATGATGATTTTCGAGAAACGAATGATTATATTAGGTTTAAGCCAAAGGCGTCTTAGATTTAAGTTTCTCAATAATATTTAAATCGTTCTAATCAAAGTAGGTTTGATAATAGTTTCATGTCAGCGATTTGCTATAAAAGGTGAATCGATGAAAGTATTTATTCAGTCTTTTAGTGACTGGGAAACTGAGAACTTCTAATAAAGAATGATCAGAAACAAAAGAGATTTTGTTTTAAATAGATAGTTCTTTCCCAAAGACTCAAACTAATATTGTTAATACCATCAACAATATTCGTTCCTTCACTCGCGCGAGCGACCGTACCATTTTTTGATATTATTACCAACGGAATTGGTTCAGCTGTGTACATTTACATTTCTAGTACATTTTAGCACAGTTTAGTACCATTAGTACGATGTGCTGCCTCCTAGAATTGTTAGGAATCGCTGGAAATGCACTAGGACCATTTTTCCAAATTTAGTACAATTTAGTACAATTTAGTACAAATTAGTACAGATTAGTACATTTTAGTACAGTGCGCTGCATAGCTCTGATGAAGTACTAAAACTTTGCTTCAGTGATTAATGCTTTATTTGCAACGGCTGAGAATTTATAGGCTTGGATATTGAAAAAATTGAAAAATTCAAACCTGTCAAAAAATAACGGTAAATCATAAAATTGCAAATCGCACCCTAGAAATGTAATGTAGTGACCATAAGCAATCCAGAGCAAAAACAAAATCAAAAAAATATTCATATTCCAAAAAGTTCTGTAAAGTAAAGTTAAGCCAATGAGTTAATCGAAAAAAACCTGATATGATTTATGGGTCATTTTATTATATTAGTTTAACGGCAACCGTAGTTGCATTATCTATATAATACAAAATCTGGCATTACAGGCATTAAACAGTCAGAAACGTTAAAGGCATTAAACAGTCTTTTGAATGGAAATTTATCTTGGCATTCCGTGAATTTGATACACTCAACACGGAATTGTTCAACGAATACGTGGATAAGATATTTTACAGATATCTCGTATTTATCTTATCTTTTTTTATCTATTCGTCATATTATCTGATATCTTATCTAGATAGATTTTGTAAGAGCCCACATTTATCTTATCTTTATCTAGATGATTTCTTCTTATATTTGCCAAACACTGACTCGTATCAGGCACAGGTTGCCTATTTCCATGGGGCATCCAATGAATGTGCTGAAGCTGTCAGATATTACAATGATCTCAAAACCGAACGAAACCTGAAATTTCTCCCGTTTTTAGCGGGTATATTACAATTTTTTTTAGCGATGCCATAAAAATGATTCAACGATTGTTAGTTTTGTGCACCACTTGAATTTCCTGAAAATTACTTGGATTAATTTGGAGTCAAGTCCTTATATAAAAGCTAACACGAAACGTAGAAACTGCGTCGAATTTTGAAAATTTGTTACTTATTCTTTGACGCATCCAAATTTGTTCGCCTCACTCATCGGATGTAGAAAAGTGTATCAGCTCAGATAATAAAATGATAACTCATAAGAGTAATCGATTTTCAATTGAAATCGAGGATGAATGTTTATATATTTATTACAACATGCCAATTGGTGTTAACGCTCGAGCAGTGAAACCCGCAGCGAGCAATAGTTTACTTTCTGATTGAAAAAGCAAGACGGGCACGAAGTGAAACCGAAAAGACAAAGGAAGGACATTGAAAAATATATCAATTTTAATGTCAATATAATTGCAAAACCAAAAAGAATCCGGTAGTTCCAAAAAATTCTTATTTTCATCGTGTGGAAAATTTTTGATTAATTTGAGACATTTTGACTGACTAAAAGTGATTGTCTCGAACAAAATAAGCAACTGGAGTTAACTTTAATCACGAATCACTCTTAGTCAAAATGTCCCAAATTGGTCGACTGACTGAAAGAATAACTAAACGTGATTGTCTCCATACAAAACGCATGATTTCAATCAACTTAGCCAGTTTTAGTTGTATATGGATAATTAAAATTTCGTCCAAAAAAATGAAAAAACCGCCCAAAATTTTTATAAAATCGTCCAAAACATATTACAAAAATGGAAAAAAATTTGGTCGATTTCCTCATTTTTTTGGCCGGTTTTGAAAATAAAATTATAAAAACGTCCAAATCTGTTTTCGTCTCCAACTCTGAAATTTGAATTTCGTCCAAAATTATTCGAAATTCGTCCAAAATATTGAGAAAATCGTCCAAAATATTTAGAAAATCGTCCAAAATATTTTGAAATTCGTCCAAAATATTTTGAATTTCATCCACAATTTTTCGAAAAATGAATTTGGATTCATGACAAAAGCCTACCTTTTCTTCACATGACTCTCTTAGAAAAGTCACTTTGCTCATCAGTTCATAAATATATTTTCCAACACTGTTGGAAAACGGCTTTTTATATTGAAAATTTGTATTTCGTGCCGAAACTTTGGACAGGTCAGTTAAAGTATGATTCAAAGTTTACGTTTGTAAAATTCAAGAGATTCAGTAGCCAATTTATTTGCTTAGAATTTTCTTCGGTAAAAACAATGAATAAACTGGGCTTGCAAAATTGATATTAAGCACAGTCCCGCACATGTGATTAATATTTTATAGAATATAGAATTTCATATCCATCGTGAGAGCACGATGCATCGCTTGCGATTCATAAATAAGGTTGCTGTGCATACAACAATGTGTCTTAACTCAAAAAAAAACTATTAGTCAAGTATCTACGAAATTCATTCGTAGCATGATCATTCGTACAGTAACGAAATCAGGCGGGTGCTGATTCAGCATGACATAATCCGGCGATGAATGTAAAACGCGCGCAAGCAAATATAGCACGATATTAGGAAAATATCTGCTGTATGAGACATTGAAAATATACATTCTAGACACATTGGCATACAATCACAAGTTATATGCAATATGCAATTGCACCTATCTTTGTGTATAATTCAAGCGAGAAACCGAGTTTTAATTCTATATACTATGAATCTATGGGTGAGATTGAGAGTGGTGTATGATTCACACACATATTGGAAAAAGTAGAGAAAAATCTTCAAATATTTAATTCATTTCAACTAATGTACGATGGTTGTCTTTTGCAAATTTTTACAGTTTGTCAAGACCAACAATTTTTGCTCAAATACCAATTAGATACTTTTTGTCAGTAAAATTGAAATCGCCAAAAACATACTCTACCTCATCAAAATATATGTCGCCAGTAGTGTTGGCTTCGAACGTTCGTTCGTTCGTTCGACATAATTTTAAAAAAAATGGTTCTGTTCGTTCGAACATAATGTCAAAGGAACGAACAAAACCATTTTTAAAAATCATGTCGACGAAGCTTTCGAAAGCGTTCGACAGCCAACATCAGTTGACAGAAAAACATACATTACTCCCAATCTCACCCATAGAAAGCAAGGGACAATTCACTAAAAAGTTGTTGATAGAAAGGCTCTCAGAAATCGCCTATGTTGCTTTTGCCTAAAACGTCAATGTCATTAGCAGCATTGACGTTCTGCTGACTTAAAAGCATTGAAATGTCAATTGCTTTGACTTTGTAAGCACAAATTTCCAGAGCCTTTAACAAAGAAAATTTCAAGCCCAGAAAATATCCCTCAGTTTTCATACCTACTTATTGATACAATACACAACGGAAACCAACTTTACCTGGTCTTTGATATCTTGTAATTGTTGCTGAAGTTTTTGCACGTCATCCAATTGGATATTGTTGACGTTTGTGTTTCCTGGGTTAACAGCTGTGTTGGAAGGTGTTGCTACTGTATTATTCATCGCCACACCCAATCCCATCTTATTGATTCCCACCATCATATCAATTTCATTTTTCTCATCCAGTGTCACTGTTACCTATACGATGAGTGAATGATCGACATAAATCAACAGTAAGATTCCATTTAAAGTTAAATATGTACCTTTTCTATAACGCCGGTGCCGCCACAACAGATCGAAAATGGAACCATTTCATCAATTTGAGTGCGGCATTGAACACATTTTTTCATTATTCTGGAACAGTTTTCACATGCAACCATATGGCCGCATGGTCTAAAGAAAACGCTGGCACGCTTATCAGAACATACCAAGCATTCATCAATTTTTTCTCTGGACGACACCGTTTCTCGACATATCAAACACTTTTTAACACGCGGTGCACACGTATCGCAACAGCTTACGTGTCCGCAAGGCTACAAGCAATTTAGAAACATTTAATAAATGATCATTTATTTTCAATTCGTTTTCATACTTTAAATATTGTATCACGTTTTAGATCCGAACAAATTAAACATTCTTCTAGTTGGGTAGATGTTGATACAATGTTCACTTCGTTTCCAGTAGTGGAATTGTTAGTATTGTTTTGGCTAGATGTCACTGTGTTACTTGTTGACTGCACGTTCATACCATTGGTGCTAACATTTGACGAATTCACACTAATTGTCATGTTCGCCATGTTGCCTGGTAAGTCCATATCATCAGTCTTACGTTCATTGTAACACTTCACTAAAATTTTGCATAGATTAGGGTCCGGGCATAAATCCAACGGTGTTTGAAGTTTTCGATTTTTGATTGTTAAATCAGCTCCATTTGCCGCTAAGAAACAAGCAATTGATGCTGAAGCTTTCTTATCCGTGTGCTAATGAAACAAAATTCGAAGTTTTGTAAAGAGAAGGTATTTTTAATTAAAAACATATTCAACTTACGTTCCGTAATCCCATTAAAAGTTTTCCAAAACCTTCAACATCCTGTAGCTGCCGAAGTTGTGAAAGTGTATAGTGACGTAAAGCCTCATGTAATGGCGTATCACCGTCTTTATCTGATACAAAAGAAATCAAACTTCTATGAAACTAAAAATAAAAAAAATGTCCCATCTGTTGGTTTCAGATCCCAATGAGGAAAACGTTACAGTTGTACACATTTTGTGCACGGCCAATGTAATTTCTCCATAAGTTGTGCACAAAATGTGTACAACTGTAACGTTTTCCTCATTGGGATAATCTATCATCAATAAAAAAAATTCACTTCGAAGTGTTATGTCGAATGCGATCACAAAACTCCTCATATTCTTTTTAAGCGAACATTTTTAGGTAGTTGTATTGAGCTAAGAGACCGTATATGTACTCATAGGTTCTGACACCAAAAAATTCAGGGGGGTCAAGCCAAAAATTCAAGGGGGGGTCAAAAAAATCAATTCTATCTAGTGTAAATTTCTTCCCGAAAAAAATTGCTGACCGGGGGGGGGTGATCCGCAATTTCGAATTTGAAGAGCAAAAAAAAAAAGGTCCTCGCTCTCAAAAATCGATTCTATCTAGTGTAAAACCGGTATCCAGAACAAAGTGAGGACTAAAAAAAAAAAAAAAAGGTCCTCACTTTCGAAAATCGATTCTATCTAGTGTAAAACCGGTATCCAGAAAAAAGTGAGGTCTAAAACAACAAAAAAGGTCCGAAAATGGCAACGGGTCCAAAAAAATCGTTGGGGGTCAAATTTTGCCAGGGGGGGTCAGGATCAACCAGATCCAGTGTTTGGTTGAGATAATATCTTAAGATGATATAACCAGATAAGATAGATAAGATATTATCTTTTATCTTATCTAGATGAAAAATTCATTTTGCGGATTTATCTTATCTTTATCTTTTCTTCATATTTTCCCAATTATCTATTGTCATATTTTAGATAAATTTTAAGATAAACGAAGGCTTCATAAGTAGAACGGGTGGGTTTTGAATGAAAAACATTTGAATTTTACGGAACATTTAGACATTTTTTTTTACATTTTCGTTCAATTTCTGATTGATATTTCATTCTCAATCGTTTGTTCGACTCATCATTCATCAAAAGAAACAGATTATTTCCTTTTCTTTTAATTTTTATGTCTCCAATAATTCAAATTATTGAAAATTTTCAATTTTGGCTTTATGCTTCGAGTTTCATAGACCGTCTTCAATGAATCTGATGTGAGGTTTGATATGAATATTCGGCTTGAACAATGTATTCGAAACTACCATGACAATTGAATTTTTGGTGAAAAAAAACTGATTTTTGTATACAAAGCCGAGAAGTTATGAAATTATAAATTTGTTGTTTTGAAACTTATGACCTTAAAATCTATTTGATTCACTTTATTCTGCCTAGAATCGTTTCAAACTCTCTGGAGCGAAACGTGAATTGACAGCCAATTGTCGATTTATTCAAATTAATACAAATGTTCAGTGCAAAATTCTGTTATAAAAAAAAAACTAATGTCATAGCCTTCAATAGGCTTTTATCTGACTAGAAGATCAGATAAAGATAAGATAATCTTATCTTTTTCAACAAAAGATAGATAATTATTTCGACATTATCTAGATAAAATTGAATAAAAAAGATATTATCTCGAAATTATCTAGATAAATTTCATTTATCTCAACCAAACACTGACCAGATCAGACTATGTCAGAACCTATGTGTGTACTGAATTATTTCGAATTATTATAGTACGGTTTTAACTAAAAATCCATATTGATATGGTAATTTCCAGCGAATCGTCGGGATTAATTAGTTCCATCAGATTATTTTTTAATTTTGAAATCGTTATTCACATTGCATCGCTTGAAAACCATCTTACACTATGCCACGTCATCACTCTCACATCAAACTAAGGCAGTGGTTTACACTATTTCTATTCGATGCAGAATTTTTCCCCGAACAACCAACACAACAGCCACGATAAATCAATTCTCGTCAATAGAACATATTTTCATATGTAATTTTTCAGAGAAAAGATTTTTTCGACGACTGCGGAATCGAACCCCAGACCACCCGACTAACGCTCAAGTGTGCTAACCTCTACACCACCGCCGCCATGAATGCTGAGTGCATCAATTGCTCGGTTGGACCGCTTGATAATGTTCGATGTCTTCATTCATGCAATTTTACGTTACTATTGATTTCAAATCCACCGATATTTCGCTCATCGGTATTTTATGAATGGTTGTGTTATTTTCTTTATACACAAGCAACGCTGAGGTGACGGCTCTGATTTAATACGAACATTTTTAGGTAGTTGTATTGAGCTTAGAGACCGTATGTGTACTGAATTTTATTTTTCAGATAATAAATAATTCAGTACATATACGGTCTCTTAGCTCAATACAACTACCTAAAAATTTTCGTATTAAATCAGAGCCGTCACCTCACCGTTGCTTGTGCATAAAGCAAGTAACACAACCATTCATTCTTTCTAGGGAAACATTTCGAAGTGATTTCAAATAGGTTTACTTTTCCGTACATAGCGTTCAAGCAAGGGAAAGTCAAGGGAAATTCTTCATTCAAAATATCCACGATATTTACGAATATTCAATAATCGAATTCACATGAAAATCACAACATAGAATATTCACAGAAGAGTCGATTTTATTATTTGAGTTTGGGATTATGAATGTAATTCTATTTATTTTGTAAATATTTGTCCAATTCTTAAATCGTTTTGTAATGATAGCAACTGGGAACATGGTGATGGACCTATTCGTCTATGAAACGACAAGGTGACCAATATTCGATGTACTCTAACATTACTCACTCAGAACGGAATTAATACGATTCACATATACCAATGGTGATCTGTCAAATTACCATCATTACTACACACAGAAAAGAATCCCCGGAAATTTTAGGTGTTCGCCGTGAATTTTGATATTTATATATAAATATCTATATACATTTTACCGGCAACACTTCAATTTTCCGGGCGATGACATATTTTCGAACATTTCATCAAATACTATATATATTTTACCGCTTGAAATGACAGATGGCGCTAATTTCTGTTGGAATATTTGAAATTATGTCATCACCCGGAAAATTCAAGTGTTGCCGGTAAAATGTATATAGAAATTTATATATAAATTTCAAATTTTACGGCGAACACCTAAAATTTCCGGGGATTCTTTTCTGTGTGTATTGGCGAGAGTGGCGATTTTGTATGTATTGTATTTGCTCTGCTGTGCGATATTACTGTGTAACAAAGTGGTATTGGTTGTAATATGACCATACTACTACCGATACATTTTTGTGACATAGTAATATCGCACAGCAGAGCAGATACAATACATACAAAATCGCCACTCTCGCCAATAGTAATGATGGTAATTTGACAGATCACCATTGGTATATGTGAATCGTACTAATTCCTTTCTGAGTGAGTAATAAACAAATCTGGAAAAAAAGGTGTGTGAGCAAAACTGAGCATACCACGTTGAAGGGGACACTTTCCCGATCTCAAAACCGTATTCCGTTTCTCTGGGTTGTACGACTTAGTGCATTTTGGTTTTATGTAGGTTTTTTCGAAAATCAATGTTCTCTGTGCACATGTAATGCGCCATAGACCATTAGAGTCGGTGCAGTGGTTAGAATTTTATAAACCATAAATATGAGGAATGAACATTGAAACTAGTCAATTTCACCAACTACCGAGTTAAATGTACGCAGAATTGGAATTGTTTTTTGCCAGTTTCAAAGTTTTATCGTAAAGAGCATTAAATTTAGCCATAGACCTACTGGGTACGATCACTAATTAAGCAAATGAGTAACAGTTGTACTTTATCAAAATTAAACACTAGCCATCATGTTCCGAAGATTCAAAGGTCATAAAACTTTGAGATTCAAGCCAAATTTGAAGCCGATCGGATGGAAAATTTGGGTACCTGCCATACAAAATTTTAGAATTTCAGCTCTGAAATAGAAAATTTTGTATGGAATGTACCTTTATTTCTTGATCGATTGCCTTCAAAGTACGATGGAGATTTTGGCGGTGTCGAAATCAACGCACCAATACATATACACTATTGTGTCGTATAACGTAAACCCACAATGGAAGCATAGAACTATTATGTCATGTTATTGTCAACAAAATGTTGGCAACTCCATCGGAATTATATTTCATCACTTGAAGTTATTTTTAAGTGGCAAATTTAATCTCTTAAGCTAAGTACACAGTTCCTCGTGAAATGAAAAAATTTCTCCGGTGAAATTTTCACAGGTGACAATTTTATGGTGTTTTTTATTTTCGAATTGCAAGCATAATGATTTTTGATGTATAAATCAGCTAACTCATCCCAATATCAACACGACGCATGAACAAATTTGGTTTTTAAGTTCATTCTTCTATGTGTTTTGTCTGAACAAATTTTTTTCACGCTCGTGAAAAATATTTCGCGTGCAAAATGTACGCGAAATTTTTTTCACGGCCGTGAAAAAATAAGAAAGATCAAAATAAATTCAAGTATGAATTCAAAATTCAAATTTGTTCATGTGTTGTGTTGATATTGGAGGGAGTTAACTGCTTCATACATCAAAATCATTATGCTTGCAATTCAAAAATACAAACCACCATACAAATATCACCTGTAAATATTTCACCGGAGAAATTTTTTCATTTCACGAGGAACTGTGTACTTAGCTTTACTCTCTTTTTTTTCTCAGTTAGATCGCCGATGCAAACATTTTCCAAATTAAATCTTATTTTAAAAGAACATACGGTTTTACACTTTGAATAATATTTTGCCATGTTACAATCATGTTTATGAACCTTTAGTCCGTATTATGGCTGTACAACACATTCCCGTCGGGCGTACAACGCCCGTAGTACATTTTGTATAAAAACTAGATGGTGATAAGAGATAACGACTTGGTATCTTCAGCAAAGTTGTAATACTCTAACCGCTCTACAACTTTGTCGAAGATACTATTACGTTATCTTTTATCAATTCCACGAAAAACGCGGAAAACCGCGAATAATTGCCATCTCATTTCTAACGGATTTAATAAAAGGGTAAGAAATATCTGACTTCAGCGAAGTTGTAGAACAGGTTGAGTGCAACAATTTTTCTGAAGATATCATTTCGTTATCTCTTATCAGTTACGCACAAAATGATAAGCAAAAATTCTCGTTTTTTCGCGGTTCTCGCGGAACTGATAAGAGATAACGACTTGATGGCTTCGGCAATGTTGTTGTACTTGACCCGCCGTACAACTTCGCTGAAGATATCACTTATCTCTTATCAGTTACGTGTAATACGCGAAAAACCGGTCAAGACCGCCCACAATATGGGGTTTTTGACAATTTTTTTCCGCGTAATTGATAGGAGATAAGTGATATCTGTCTTGAGCAAAAATTTAGTGAATGTCAAGTATAACAACTTCGCTGAAGACACTTAGTTGCTATCTCTAATCTTAGTATAGTTTTGAAACAGAATTCACTACGGGAGTTGTACACCCCACAGCACGTACGGTGTACATATATTTCAAACACACATATCTCACATATGCTTACACCTTTTAACATGAAATTTTACTGGTGTGTATCTAAAGGTTCAAGCTATCGGAAGGTAGTACACAAATGGTGTTTTTTTTTAAATTTAGTACTTGTATTTACATTTGAAGTTTGTCTCGGGCGCTATACGCCCAGAGCACGGACTGAAGGTTAAAACAAACGCTCCCAACATCTCAAACAAGTGAAACAATTCATCTCTGTGGCAAATAAATGGAGAGAGGTATTCAGCTAACGACAACAGCATCGTCACTGCGGTCTTTGTGTATATATACTCTCAATGCGCCATGCAGATGTGTGCAGGCAAATTGTTTGTCAAAGCCAGTGCGCAATACACTCATAAAGCGTGTTTGATACACACAGTTTGAAAGAAGGAACGAATGGCATAAAGGAAGAAAGAGAATATCAATGCCGCTAGAATGTTAAAGCAATAAATCATACGGGAAAATGGGACGAAGAAACATAACGGCGCTTCATTGCCAGTGCTAACCAATGCACACACAATCGTATGTATTGCATCTAACAGTCGAAGCTCGCTTGCAATTGAATTGTCACTAAATACATATTCATGGGCGTCTCCATTATAGACCAAGAGCTCACGTAGAAAATACTATGTTGACAAGTTTCCTATCAGATAATACGATCATAGGTAGATATTAAGGCCGGTATTCAAAATATTCTTCTCTTTCTTCTTTATCTTTTGCACTTTACGATATCTGCGCGCCGATATCGATGAAAAAATATGCTTCACTTTTCTTACAATTTGCATGTCAGATATTTTGTGTATAGCTAAATTGCCACGAAATTAATTCAAACTTGAAATATCAGCTCAAAATCTTTTGCACAACACTTTGAATGACTTTCAGCCACCGCAAAAAGTTACTTTGAGCCGCCGCGGCTGAAATGAATGTTTAGTATTTTTTCAGCCGCCGACGAAAATGCTTTTTGGCCGCCGAAAGTAAAATCCGCGAAAGTGAAATCCGCGAATCACTTTCAGCCGCCGTAAAAAATCATTTTTAGGCCTCCGCGCCCGAAAGGTATTTTCGTCGGCGGCTGAGAAAAATTATTAAAAATTCATTTCAGCCGCGGCTCAAAGTGATTTTTTGCAACAGCCGAAAGTAATTCGCAACTATTTACTCTTACCCGCCGCGGCCAAAAACACAAGCAATATTTTTTCTTTCGATCGTCTACGCTTTCCTCATCATCTTATCATTCGCGCGCGCGCCCGTTCGGTCATGTGGAAATCCCCACCGTTGTTCACCGTACCAGTTTTTATTTCAATATCAAAATTCCATAGCGTATTCAATCGTGCACACTCTCCTCAACGTCCTGTTGACAAACCACTTTTATTTTATTTCGGCAGCCGAACGAAATTCGTGAAAAATCACTTTGAGCCGCGGCGGCCGAAAAGTTTTTGATTCGGCGGCTGAACGGTAGGCGGCCGAAATACCAAACCCCGAATTTTGACCCACGAAGGCGACAAAATCGCATTGCGATGGTCTCAAATCGACTAATTTTTAAGTAATTTTTCGCGACAAATCCAAATATGTCAGTTTAAGTACACCAATAGTGATTATTTTTTGAGATATTCCAACAAATAATCTGAAAATATCATCAAAAAATGAATAGACAAAAAAAATTAGTGCGCAGTGATGGAGTTGACTTTTCGGCATTTGCCCCAGGACCAAAGCTTCTTCTTTCAAGATGCCCAATCAAACACGCAGTGTCCATTTTCGATAATCTTTGAAAATAAAAATCGATTCACCCTAAATAGTAATAATAAAGCCTTAATAAGACAATTTACCTGGTATGTTCAAGTTGGCACCCTCACGAACTAGTAGTTTTACTATCTGTACGTGTTGCCGTTCAACTGCAAGGTGCAAGCCAGTTTGTAAATTTACATTTTGTTTGTCCATATTCGCTTTTCCCATATGCACCAACAATTCAGCAATTTCCACATGATTATTTAAACATGCAAGGTGTAAGGCGGTGTATCCATCATCTTTCTTTTCTTCCACAATCCAGGGCCGATTTGTTTTTGAAAGCAATATTTTCATTGCACTTGGATTCCCTTTCAATGCACAATGATGTAATGCATTGAACCCATTGTTATTCGTCAGCGTAATATCCGCACCATAGTCCAATAGCAAAGATAGCATTTCGTCTTGTTCTTTGGATATAGCATCATGTAGAGGTGTATCCCCCTCAGAATCTTGCAAACTTGGGTGACAATTCAATTCGAGCAATGTTTTTACTACATTGAAATGACCTTTGTTAATTGCGATATGTAAAGCAGTCTGTCGACGCTTGTTACGTGCATTCAAATCTCCACCGGCTTTAGCCAATAGTTCAAGTACCTAATATGAAAACACAATTTTATAGAGTTTAAATTGAATGGGTGAGGGCAAAAGTGTAACTTATTCCCAGAATATAAATGAACAAAACAAAAACGAAAAATTTTCTTAAAGTGTAACATCTACAGAGAATTTTTTCGAAGTGAAACACCGCGTGTTACATTTTATTAAAATTTGTTTGTCATGATTTACTTTAAAAAAAATTCGCGCTGGTGTTTCACTTTTAAAACGTTTGTATTGATGTTTCGATCAGAAATATTTGTTTGATTGTGATTCGTCCTAGGAATGTATAAAATTTTTATTGATAAAGATCGCGAATTTTGATGTGGTCAAAACTTTGATTTCCGAACGGAATTAATGTGTCTATCGCTCCCAAATCACGATATACAAAATCGATGACTTCCCATATGGGAATCATCTATATAGAGCCATCATTCCACCAGCTCCGAAGATTCGAAATCTTCGAAGAAACTGTCTTTCGATGTTACACTTTTGAAAAATCTTTCTCCTGTGTTTTCATTTAGATATGCTATGAGAATAAGTCTCTTTTTTACCGTCACTCGTTCAATTGTATAGAATAAAATCTATGAATTTCACAAACCGCAGGCTCATCTCCAAATGCGGCATGGTGAACGGCTCGATCACCATCTTTATCTTCGATCTCAATATCGGCATTATAGTTTAATAATATTTGAATAACATCTAAATGACCGTTTTGACTGCCAGCTTGTAATGCTGTATGTCCAGCAAATACTCCATTCACATCAGCTGTTTGTCCATTTGCACCTTCATGGCATCCAGATAAAAATTCCTCACAACGACTTGCATTCCCACTTGCCGCAGCTTTAACGAGCTCCTCCGTAATATCACCAGACACATGTGGCTCTGTATGGACATATTTATTTTAGAATAATATCTATATTTACAAAAGGTGTTCGATTTACTACCAAAAAGTTTTTTCAAAATCGCCGACAATCTTTCACCGCTTGACGTTACAGGTACCGTTCCATCGGCTGCAGAAGCAACTTTTGTGACTGCTAATGGATTATATGTCCACGAAGTATTACAAACTTCCACTTTCAAATCGTTGTCTTGATAAACCTGCTGCACTCTTCCCACCTTGCCCAAAGTGGGAATCATGGCTTTGTCAATAATACATTCGTGGTTAATTTTCATTCCATTCATTTACAATATTAAATTGTTTACCTTCAGCCCATTCCCCATGACCGCGCTGCAAGATCTTAATTCGCTCCAAATCCTGGCATATTTTCACAAAATCACCAACAGCAAATTGTTGTGTACCATTTCCATCTCTGCAATTTAACGCATATTATGTTTTACATAACTTAATAATTATTAATTAATTAGTAATAGAGAGTTTTGGAGAATCTCACCGATCTGAAGCAATTTTTGTAAGCACAGCTGGATTGAATGTCCATCGATTTGTACTTGGATAAGCAACCACAATATCATGATCTTCATCAATACCCACTACAGTTCCTGTGTTACTCAAACACTCAAACATTCCATCAGTCCAACCTCCGTGCCCGTGTTGTAGACTCTGTTAAGAATAAAAGTTTCAATCATAATTTCATCATACAAAAAAATGACCTGAGACTGAATACCTGTACAATTTCTAATTCCAAGTCAACTGAAACCTGATCTCCAATCTGAAAATTTCCAGGTCCTTTTCCAGGGCCGTTTTCACCTAATAGCGGTAGATGATCTTTATATACGGTTGTACCTTTGGCATCATTCACAACTTTTAAGTCAGCCATTCCTTCAAAGCCAACGCGATACAAATTCTTTGCGCCATTATCCCATACAACATATGCAGCTGATCGCGGGCTTGCTGCTGACCAATCTTGTATTTCGTTAACTTTTCCACGTCGCCCATTACCCCCATCTTGATCTTCCCATTGCCAGTCAACACCGCGCACAACTCTAGCTCCTGGAAATATTCCACGCACAGCTATCTTCTTGGATTTTCTCCTCGGTTCCAAAATAGTCCTTTCGCCACCGGGTGTCGAAATTCTATAGAAACGATGTCTTAAGTGATGCTTATCACTATGATAACATATTGAGCATAAATCATAGTTTGAACATTCGCCGCATTTCCATCTAATACCAAATATTGGTTGCTGTCGACATGTATCACACATTGTTCCTTCATGCTTAATTCCAGTCGGGGCACTGTCCAATATACGTAGATCATATGCACCAGCGCATCTATAGTTGGCAGCTGTACCATTATCCCAGACAACAACAACTTCTTCAGACGATTCGAAATTTCGAACCGTTCCTACATGGCCATCGCCACCATCCTATAAGAATACAACATGTTGTTTTAAAAAATGGTTATAATTATTTATTCAATTCGTTTTTTTACCGCTTATAAAAAATATGATAATAGAATAAATAAAAAAATACTGTTGACAGAACATTCAATTTCTGTAATTGAACTACGATTGAGAATACCTTTCTAACATTGGCAAATTGCTCAACATCACTTATTTCTTTTATGTCATTTGGAATTTTATTTCATAGTCCGGACCACAAATGAGTTTTCATGAAAATTATTATTCGTTGGCTTTTAAACACCCCATACTTGTCTGCCATAAGAACCAATGTATTTTATGTAATAGTGTAGATAAGTGGCGCCGAAATACAATTTGCGGCATTCTTAAGTACTATCAATACTTGTTATTGTTGTTGTTGTTATCAATTTCGCAACAATAACTTGAAGGTGTCATCGGACAAACACCTTGTCCGTCCATTCAGGGCTCTTGAAATTTAAGAAATTTTCTTGTCCGCCCGAAAAAAATTCGTGTTCGTTCGCTCGTTCGGAAATTATGCTCGACCGTTCGGTTTTTCTAGATTTAAAATACATAGGGAAAGAATTAAATTTTTAATTCTTTGGGCTAGACTGAAAGTAGAGTATGTTTCACTGACTTTGTCATGAAAGAAGACATTTGTTTCGGATGCAAAATTATCAAAGATGAGAACGTCGATTTTTGGTGGTTTATCGCAATTTTTCGCATTACGAAACTGATATAAGATATGAAATATTTGTCTGGAGCAAAGTTATAGGGAATGTTGAATGCTACAACTTCGCCGAAGACACTAAGTCATTTCCTCCCACCAGTCTCAAGAAAAATGCAAAAAATTGTGATAAACCGCCAAAAATGATTTTGACCATTTCGAAGTCAGAAGAAGTCCCCACTTTCATTTAATTTGCTTTCTATGCATTTTAAATGTAAAAAAACCGCACGGTCGAACAAGCCATAATTTCCGAACAAACGAAAGAACTCAAAATTTTCTTCTAAATTTTCGAACGAACGAACGTTCGAAGCCAACACTACCGTCTGTTCAGAGCACCTACATTGCGCCGTCCAGAAGCAGCGGTTGCTTTTTAACTATTTTAATGTTGGTTGAAATTATCCTACTGATAACTTTGGACAGTGTTCACTGTTCATACTTGATTTTTTGTTATTTTTTAACTATATCAAAAATATTTAATAGGGTAATGTCTTCTTAAATGGGACACACTTTGACATGATTTTCTAACTTTCACTAGTGGAAATATTTTTGGGAATGTGTATACCGTTGGAAAGAAGACCTCCAAAGGAATCTTTTTGCCTAAGACAGTCTATCGATTACATTACAAAAAAAAATTTAACGCAAAATTTCCGACCATATCGGAAATCGGAAAAAAAATTGTCTTCTTAAATGGGACACTCCGAAAAATGAAACAATAACATCATATTTTAAATGATTATTCATTGTTTATTCATTTAATCGACTTTGGGAATATAATAAGTGACAAAAGTAATGAGTAATGATGTTTATTCGTCACTTTCTTGGTCTACGACTTCATTTTGTAGTTAAGCCCATTTGTGCACACCTACACTTTATTGAAAGTAGCCAAAATTGTTTTATTTTTCTATGGTGTAGCTGGGGTCGAGTATGTTTCAAATGTATGCCAATTTTTTTCCGCGCCCACTGTGTATCCAAAAAAGGACGACCATGAAAATCAGGGTATTGACACCAAAGGTCATATCTCCCCAGCCATGAGAGGGAGGGTACTGCTCCTTGGGTCAAAATTGTAGTACTCGTGAATACCTATCCAACAGTATACATAACATTTACATTTGTTCACATTATGTTTGAACAACCGTTACAAGAAAAAAATTAAATTTTCGGGTCAAAAAAGTAATTTTATCCCCGTTTTCTGGGCCAATGGGTGGATTTATCGTTAGGGTGTGCTGGTAAAAGTTGTAGAGCGACAAACAATTTTGCTGCAGACCATTTTGCCCCATCTTGCTTAACTTAAAAATACACAGTGTCCCATTTAAGAAGACATTTTTGTCCCATTCAAGAAACTTGCCGCCATTTTTGTGAGTCATCATAAAATTTTTGTTGACGCAATAGCATCAAATTTCACTTCGTACACTTGAAAAAGATTCAATTTACTAATTTCTGACCTTCAAAAAATGTTCACAAAATTTCAAACTGTGGGTGTGTGGAAATTGTCCAAAAAAACTTTTTTTTGGAAAATTTCAGACGAATATCATTTCACAAACAAGCGATACGTCTTAACTCTTCGGAATACTACCAAAAGTGAGCTCTCGTCGAGCTAATCGTTTGGTGTTAATGACATTTCGCTGTCACTGTCAGATTTCAAAAATACTCGACTGTCCCATTTGAGAAGATGTCCCATTTAAGAAGACATTACCTTATTTAATATTTGATATTTATTTTTTTTTATTTTCATCTTATTTTTGATCATATGTCGATTATAAATAAGTACAAATCAATCTAGCAATCAATATACAAAGGCTAGTGTTAAAAACTATTTTCTTTATAAAAAAAACTATCAATAAAAATTAAATTCATCAATTAACCAGTACAAGATGAGACAAATTATAGAGAGTTGAGATCAGTGATGGCGTGCAAAACTAATGTACTCAATGCATTTTGAAGTTTGATACTTAAGTGAATTGACATCAACTCTTACTATATTTTTCTGGATTCAATGGGCAGGGGAAGAATAGGGATAAATACTATTCGTAGCAATAGGCAGAAAACGCGGAAAGTTGAAACTGGTTAGGAAAAGGAAGAGGAAGCGAATTTAGCAATCAAGTTGGCCGCCACAACTGCTTTTCGATCGCGTTTCCATGATCGTGTTTTGCCGTGGATCACAAAAACCAGCAAAACATGCACCAAAATATTTGAATTGGCGTCAATTTTGTTCCTCAATAAAGTCAGAGCTGCCTATGAAGATGCCATCAACAGCGATGATTGGTCAGAAGGCGATGGAGTGCACATCATCGACAACGGTTTCTTCAGATTATGGAGCCATGGTTTCGACATGTTGAGAATCAGGACACCGTGAATCGATTCTGTAGACCACACAACGGTGTCATGGCGCACCGGATGATTTCGACGAACAAGATGTCGGAAATGAAGTGAAATGGGGAATCAATGTTATGTACGAAACATTGACGGACCAACTAACTAATGATATCGCCACATTCACCAAAGGTAATTCATGGTTCGCATCATTGCCAATGTGGTTGCGCATGCAGTCGGAGATCGATGTGCATCATATCTGAATGGGTAAGAAGAATAATCTAACGTAATTTGTTTGTAAAATAAAATGCCCTTGAAAAAAAATTCAGTAAACGTGGTACATGAATACTTTTCATATTCAAGTATCGTTTATTCAGACAATATTTTTGTGTGGCACTTTTACTGAAATGGGGGCATTTAATTTTACAAACAAATTGCGTTGCATTATTCATCCCTACTACAAAAATAATCCTTCGGAATTCTAAATAATGCTCAAAAATGTTCAATAATGCTATCCATAATATCAATAAATAATAGCGAAGTATGATCAAGTAAATGACGCTTGCGTGGATTTGAATGCCTTAAAACAAAGTGGGTAGATAGTAGATATCACTTAGCCACAAGTGGCCAAGTGGCCACTAGGTTGGACAGCACTGGTCTATGGTATTTTGATGGCTTCTATGTCTATGAATTGGGCATCGACCCGGGCATGAATACTTGGAATGCAAAGTTAGACGGCGAATTGATACTGACAAAGGAGTATGTTATCGATTAAATGCATTCTATTGTGCCATGTGAAGAAATATTCAAGAAAATGAACGGCAATGTCATACGATTTGTGAACCAATCCAGATCATCACGATTGTGTGCCAGATGTTTCATAACATTTCCATGTGTATGCACGATCAAAATGATTGGCCTGATACAATGAAGCTGCCACAGAATTTGGGTCGAAAAGGTTCTCCAGTACAGAAGACTGTTCGGCACCGTAACACTTCGGCTGCAAAATTGATCTTGTACAGAGGTATGTCATTCATTGAATTGATATGGAAGCAATAGTATTGTAGATAGTGTAATGATAATATGTGTGTTTTTTCTCTTTCAGGCCATTGCGAACTCTTTTTATAACGGCTGCATGATGCCTTCACTTGCCGACAACTCGTGTATCCAAATCCTTGGTTGCGGGTCGACTTCAACATTCATCAATACCGATGGAGCCGAAATTTATGTTTAAAAAAAATTAATGTTATAGTACTCTACTTGCAGTTGGTGTAGGTTTTAGTCTTGATTTACAAAAGGAGTGGACTTTCGGATATGAAGGTAAGACAATGATGATACATTGTGTTATGATTTATATTAAGATTTTACGACAGCTTTCTGCTTCGGGAAGTGTGAATATCAATCGCAACACTTTACGATGACTATCATTTGACATAGAATTGGCTGCTCTTTAAATTACGGCTAGCCAATTTTTCTTTTTCAGATTCGAGTAACACCATTTAAGTACACGTTAGAGAGTTTTAGAATTTAATAAAATTCAATTGTAATATTCAAATAACTTTCATATTGCGTTTTGTAGAGATTAAATCTTTGAATACTATTCGAAGATTTTGTTAGCGAAAACAGGGAATTAGCTAATTTTCATTTAGAAACAATTGGGGAAAATGGATTATTTTGACTATTCGTGGCGCTGGTAAAGGAGAGCATGTTCAATGGCGGTCTAATTTGCGTGAATCAGCTGCACGTAAACAGTCAAAATACTCAATTTCATATCAATAAAGTCATAGAGCACATTGAGAAAGGGGTACACAGGATCCTTGCTGAAGATGCTAATCCTTCATCAATTATGCAATGTAAACCTACTCTCACCACTGTGAGTTTTACAAAATAGATGCTTCCTCAACAAAGTCTGTGAAACATACTTTAAATAACGAACTTATGGCGTAAATCTGAACATCACTACTTCAAGTAAAAGACATGAACGATCTAAAAAATGATGCGATTAGTTCACCTGTTTGCCCCATTTCCAATCCGGTCCCCGAATCACTCGAGCCCCAACACCTTCCATTGTAAATCTGGGCGGTCTACTCACGACCGTTCCACTACTGGAAGCACTACCAGCTGTCGCCGATGAATTTGCATTTTGTGTGTCTATTTGTGGTGCAGAGCAAGCCATTTAACTTGCGATTCAATTAAAATAGTTTCTCGTCCCACCTCTTTCCACTTCAGCGATTTTGAAAAAAAAATTCCTTTCAGTCAGTTATCAACACATTGAATTCACTGATTTAAGCATCAAATTGAATATTAGCACTCGATTGCAATATTTTTACATTATACGACATTTCTTTGCACAATCATACGCACAAGTAAATAAATCTAGAGACTCAATTTCAATTATCAATCCACCAACTTGTGTTTGTTTTTTACGTGGTTAAATATTCATAATTATATTTCACAATTTATGTACAAATTAAAAGAGATTTTGAAAAATCATATTTGAATTGAGTACACAAATTTACTGATCGATTTTGAGATGATATTTAACTTCAATTCTATTCACTTTGAAACATGAAAACATGAAAACATCTGCACTAAATTGACTTCTCCAAAGTCTAAAATGGTTGAAAGAAAAATATACAAAAAGTAACATCTCACAGTACATATGTATTTCTTGTATTGCTTCTTCTTCTTCTTCTTCTTCTACTAAAATGACATATTCAACAGCTATGTGTGAACGGCGGTCTCTTTTTACTTATCAAGAATTAAACACACACTGTACAACTGAAAGAAAGAAAAGAAGATAACCAAAGAATTAAAAAAAAATTAATGCTTCTATTTAAATTTCAATTTTTACAAATAAAATTTGTACATTGTATGGAAGCGCCGCCATACGTCAATAATTTGCAATGGAATACGAAACAACGTCATGACGATTGAGCAAGAAAAACTAGTATATGCTATTATATTTGTATATGTCTATATGTGTATATGTGTGAAAGAAGTTTGCTAAATTCGGAAACTTCGAATCGTAAAACAGGAGGATTAGCAAGGTATTTGAAAGAAATAGTTTATTTCCTTGGGAGAAAAAAGAGGAAAAAGATTGACAACATCTCGAAAAACAAAGTTATTACCATGCTCTTCCACTGACATTTCAAAAAGTATTTTTTAATTGTGTATGAATGAAATTATTTTAATCGCACACAAAAACAGTTCTTGGTGATATACTTTCTGCGATCGGTCGTGAAAAAACGAAAGACAGACATAGAGAAAAAGTTATTGACTCCGACCGTAAAAATGATGAAAGAGTCGGTGAATCGATAAAACAAAAAATAAATTCACTGTACATTAGTTCATTCGTGGGTACGCAAAACAATATTTGTTTTATTTTGAACGTAGTTGCTTTTTTTGGTTCAGTTTGTTAATAATTGTGTAGTTCTCTTCTGAAAGTCGATTCAATGGCGGCGATAAAAACAGCACATTTGGGTATCCTAAGATGGCCACCTAAAACATTTTCAGTTATGTGGATATGACAGGCGACATATGTACATGCATTTCATGAAAATGAGCATTTATGTACCCGAGTTTATTGAGGACAAAAGGGACCGATAATTAAAATTCATTTCGATTTGAAGTGATATCGTTTAGTGCAACTAAGATACATTGGAAACATACAATAAAATCAGAAAGATGGACTAAATCGAAGTTTGTAATGAAGTTAAACCAATTATTGATTTAAAAAATTAAATCAATCGAAACAAGCATTTGGATGTATTAGTGTATTATTCGCTTTGGGTAATATTTTCGAGTTGATAAAACCCCTATAAAATCAAAAAATATTGTAAATAAAAAAGCACCCAAAATGAAAAATAAAATCTCCCTACAAGTGACAGATGGTCTTACAGAGACTTGAATTTGAAGAAATTGCTTTGGTTAAATTCAGTTGTTATAATTTTGTAGCTAGTGTTACAAGGAATAGTTTAAGTGATTTTCGGTTGAAATTTGTTTGTAATTGTGTTTTCATTTCGTCAAATGGATAAGCTGTTTAATATGAGTTGTATGCATTTGATACGTTCAGTGAATATATTTCACCTGCAATATTTGTGTTAACAAGCAGAAATATTCAGAAATTAAAATTCTATCATTATATTTCAACATCATACTGAGAAAAGATTTTGTCAAAAAAATCCAAAACAAATCACAGCAGACATATTTAGTGCTAAAAAATGGAAATATGTGCATTGTGTGCGTTCGGGAAATGGAGGTTTTTCAATTGGGATAATTTGGAATTGAATGTATGGACACGGATTTTAATAAATATAATGCTCTCCTATTTTGACCTGGCCGTTACAATTAAAACACATATATTCTTTGTGGCTTGCATGCTTTTATTGTGAAATGGTCACAATACAAATATAAAAATGAATCCATTGCATAAAAAATTAATGATAAATTAGTTCAAAAGAATTCACAAATTTTTCACACAATAAAAATAATAAAATGATTTTCGATGCACAAGTGCTCCAGTTCTCAAACGAATTGAATCTGGTAGATGAATGGAACAAACATACTACATAAAAACTTGTCAAAGAGTGTCGAACACCTGCAACCTGTCGATCATACCCAAAATGTTTATCTATTCAACTCAATCAATACAAATATCTTATATTCCAACAAATGTTAAAACTCTGTTGTATTTTTGGTTTTCAGAATTGATTTGTGAACTTGTTTTTGTGCAAACTACGGGAATTACTTGAAATTAAACTAAAAGTCATTAGAAACTTATATGCTCAAATAGCTTTTTCGTTGCAAATTTTTGTAACCAAAAAGAAGTTTGTTCGCTTGGTTGAAAGAAATGCGGAAAAAGCATCGATAGGTTCCTTTCGCGGCAGTAATTATTTCAGAGGCAAACAACACAAACAAATAATACCGTAGAGACATCGTGAGCGTGAAAGGATATAAACATCGCAACGTGAACAATTGTTACATTAACAATTGTTAGTTGCTTGTTATGTCATCGTCTAATCGTAGACGAGTTGCAAGTCCTCCACGAGGTGGTGTAGGTAAGCTGCGCATGGATCGTCAAAGGATTCCTGAAAGGATTTCAGGTAAGATAGAGTAAATATATGTAGGAAGAATATATTGAAAAATTTCAGAAATTTTCCATTCAGATCCAAGCTTGCCAATGGGTCGTCGTAAGGAAATAGACAACGTGATGAAAAAGGCACGTGCAAACACAAATGACTACTGGGACAAAAAGCTGCTCGAGGTCGAGGAAAAAGATCCTAATCGGTGGCGTCACACTGGCTATAAAAAAATGTATATTGAGGGAGAAAGCAGTTCGGAAAGTGATCGCGAGTCCTTTCGCTACAGCAGAGTATGAACAAATATCTATAAATTCATTTTTAATATTATTTCACACATCCGAAGAAAAAATCCCCTCAATGATCCTTGTTAGCATTACTCGAAACACATTTTGAGACAAGAAATATACTTTAAGAAAAGTAGCACGGACAGAAAATCAAGGGCGTTAACTGTCATCAAGTTAAATGCAATTTAAATGTTTCAGGGTGCTCTATTTATTTATCCATTCCATCCGTATAAAGAATAAGGGATAATCTATTAAATATTTAGTTTGTTATAATTCTTTCCGGTGTGGCACTGATATGATATAACAGCCCTAGGATTCTTTATAAAGAAAGCAGTTTTGCTGGAGACACCAATTTATTATGGCTTATTAGAAAAATGTCTAATACTGTTATTTATTTGTTTATAATAATCATTTTATGCACAATAGTGCCTTGCAAATTTTTTGGCTTGGGAAAAGAGTGGAGAAATAATTCATTTTGAATCTAAAGTAATTTTAAAAATGTTGAGAATAAAAAAAATTGTCTGAAGCACTTACATTTTTAGACAATTTCTAAAATTCTCCAGGCGAAAAACATTTATTCTTTCCGTATTGGTATATGGACCGTTCACAAAACATAAACATAGCCACTTGTCCAATGGATAATGTCAATGTTCATCGTTCATCCTTTCATGCTGGCTCGCTTGGCCTTTAATCGATTTCAAACATTTCAAAATTGCCGTTTGTCCATGTTTTTGAATCTATATATATAAAACTGAATGTTCGTCTGTGTGTGTGTGTGTATGTAGCCAGTTATCTCTCTTTTTTTTGATTCATGGTTCTAATGTCATGCGGGCCGTTTGATTTCGCGCGGCCTCCAGATGGTTCTTATAAATGCCGTTTTGATTTTCGAATTGAATTTTCAAGAGTTTGAAGAAAAAAAAATTTTTCATTGTTTTTCCATATGATAATCGATATTGGTATCAAATGAAATGGTTTGGAACGAAGATGAACACGGATACCATCTCGGTCCATCCTGACCGTGTTAACACAACTTAACACCAAAATAATCGATATTGGTATCAAATGAAATGGTTTGGAACGGAGATGAACATGGTCACCATCTCGGATAGTGATAACGAAAATGTTAATTAATCGCACTAATAATATTAAAATCACAATAAGAAAAAATAAAGAATCGGTTGGATCAAAACAAAAGAATCATTGTTTGGCAACAAATTCGATTCGGCTAGTTATGTCATAATTTTTATCCAACATTACTTGACGAAATTTTCCCACCTCATTTTTAGTGAAGCTGATTAAAAGTAAGAGACTTGCTTCTTCGGCAGAAATGTAGAGCAGGTCAAGTACTACAACTTCGCCACAGACACCAAGTCATTATCTCTTATCAGTTACGCGAAAAAATTCGCATTTTTCACGATTTTCGCGTAACTGATAAAAGATACTCAATCTGCTCTACAACTTGGCCGAAAATCATCTTGTTATCTCTTATAAGTTCGCGGAATACGCGAGAAACCGCAGAAAACCGTGAAAAACGCGAATTTTTTTTATCATTTTTTCACGTTACTGATAAGAGATAACGACTTGATGACTGCGGCGAAGTTGTAGTACATAAACTAGTCTACAACTCTGCCACAGACACCAAGTCAATATCTCTTATCATAGTCCAGTTATAATATAAAATAGCCATGGGGCCCTGTAGTCTCCAAAGAACAACAGCGTAACATGTTTTGCGGCAGGCTGTATTTTACACATACTCACACATATGCATATGTGCATATGTCATTCGTGTAGAGAAATGTTCAATCTATACAATGAGACTTAACTCCGGTTGGTTTATACACTGTTTAGTACTTTTATTCAATTTTAAAGTTCGCTTGGGGCCCTGGATTCCCCAAAAACCATCATAGTTTTAACATCTCGTATTAATATTCCCCAAAAACCATCATAGTTTTAACATCTCGTATTAATAATGTATTATTAATTAATATTCTTCTATTAACATATTTATCCTATTTAAATATTAACATCTATGTTAATAATTATTAAGACTTTTGTTAATATTTAATAACATCGGAAGTTAATATCGCTATTAATGCAATGCAATGTTAATATCGATATTAACATTTATGTTAATGAATATTAACAAAAGTCTTAACAATTATTAACATAGATGTTAATATTTAAAAAGTATAAATATGTTAATAGAACAATATTAATTAATAGTATCACGGAGGATGGTAGTCCGACAAGTGACGTTCCAAAGAAATTTGCCAGTTTTTGCGTCACGAGTATATATATACAGTAGGTATGCCATTTTCCCAGGACACTATTTGAGCCCGGCATATTAGGTACTTTTGGAAAGGTCTTGGCCCAAATAGTCGAAAACACCATATCCTCCATGCCAAAAGTGTGGTCTACTCGAAAATATAGTGGTTGCAACATTTCGATAAATTTCAAAATCTATACCCATATCCCACGAAAGGGGTACCCAGGGGGTGATCTAAGTGTCGTGAGAAGCTCATCTTTCTTGCCACCTTTCCAACGCCGGTCTGAACGCCCCGATCGGTCTACAAACGAAAAAGTTATGGGCATTGGCAGATTTCTATGAAATCATGATTTGGATGCTAGGGGAAATTATCATTCAAAAATTCATGAATTCCGGTGTGTTTTGAGCTATATTCAGAATATCCACTCATATTCACAGATATATTCAGTCTTTCTTATTTGACAGTTCAGGCGTTCTCATCAGCCGCCATCTTGAATTCGTCGCCATCTTGAAAATTTTATTCAAAATATTCACAAAATTCACAACATTCACATACTATAATCGAAATTTTGACGATGATTCAATGAGAAAAATATCCACAATATTCACAAATATTCACATTACTCAAGCCTTGAATGAAACCCCTAGTTTGGATGTGTCTTTGTTCGTTTGTCCGTACTTTTTTCGACCCCCATGGATTCCGGTGCGCATATGACTAAGTTGTAGCTGCTGTCGGGCCACATCGAAACCCGTCCTCAAATTGACATTTGCTTTACAGGAGGGCTTGCCATGGCTTCACTAACCTGCATGTATACGATTTTTTTGAGTATCTATTTCGCACACTAGATCAACTCAGACGCCCATCGGGTAGGGTCAGCTCGTAATTATTTGAGAAGACCTTCAAAAAGTTCCATACACACATGCCAACACTTATGTGATATAAAAAAAAGTCGATTTTTATGAAAAATCGACTCCCTTAAATTTCACACCAAACGCGATTACTAAAAAATCCACTCAACCGATTTTAACCAAAAACTGAGAGTTTGTAGCCGGCCACCATACCCACAAAATGGCATATACCATATATCCAGGATAGGCATCTTGTTTTAGTGTGCACTGAGCGAAATGAGGTTGTCAAAAATTCTGACTCAGAATCACCAACATGAAGTTGTAAACGAGCGAATTCCAACTAGGGTTGGACATTTCGCTAAATTTTCTCCACATATCACAGTTATGACTGAGTGTCCAACTCTGGTTGGAATTCGCTCGTTCACAACTTCATGTTGGTGATTCTGACAAACTTATTTCTCTCTGTGCGTAATTGTGAATAGCTCAACATGAAAAACAAGATGCCTTAAAGATGCGTAAGGTTAACTTTTCTACACTCCCAAACATATAATTTCCAATTAAATCCTATTCTCCATGCATTGAAAATGGGAAAGAATCGTATTTTAATCAGACCTTAATATCAGAGCGATTTCAATACTCTGTTTTCTATACATTGTGACACAGTAAAAATTTTACCGTGTTTTTGGCGTACAGCGTATAGTGTACCACGCACCTACCCTACGACCCCAAAATAACGCTAGATTTTTTGATTTTCGGCGTTCAAAAATCTAAAAAAAAAGATTTTTAATGGATCAAAAAATTCGGGGCGATCGCAATACTTTTCTTACACGACATGGTCGTGTGGAAAAGTAATATGAATTTTATCAATAGATATAAATATAAAGTTTTCGTGATTAATCTCTATATTAATCACAGCCAGCGACTGCAGTGCTTAAAGCCGAACTCACCTATATATCTATGGGTGAGATTGAGAGTAGTGTATGTTTGATTGACTTTGTTACGAAAGAGAAGAGCAAGTTTCTGTCGACTTAAAAATGGTTAAAAGCGAGTATGTTCGTTTTTAGCGGGTCCTCGCGGTTTTTCACGGTTTCCGTGGAACTGATAAGAGATAACAACTTGGTGTCTTCGGCAAAGTTGTAGCACTCGAGGTCTTCTATAACATCGCTGAAGACAGTTATCTCTTATCTCTTATCAGTTCCGCGAAAAGCGCGAAAAATAATAAGAAAAAAAAAGTTCTATATAAAATTTGCTTTTTTATGTGCGCGATTTGCGCGCAACTGATAAGAGATAAGAGATAACTGTCTTCAGCTCAGTTATAGAAGACCTCAAGTACTACAACTTTGCCGAAGACACCATGTTGTTATCTTTTATCAGTTGCGTGAAAACCATGAAGACCGCGGAGGCTAGACGGTACTACAACATACTCTACTTTAACGCCAACGGAATCATCAGAAAACATTACTCGCCTTTTCAAAAATATAAATCGAAGAAAAAACATACTCCACTCTCAATCTCACCCATAGATATACGTAATCCGAACTTTTTTCCCAAGCATCTGGTATGAATGAAGTGTCGCTAGAAAGACCCTAGCTGATAGACCCAGAAAATGCATTCAAACTTGGTAATCGACCAACCGTCTCCACAGAAAAAGCCACTTGAAAATTGAAAGCAATTCTCAGTTTTTCCTATTTAAGGGATATTGAACATATTTTTCTGGATGTACTCGTCGAAACGTTCCCAACAAGCCCAAGAACGTCGAAATCAGACCATCCGTTCATGAGTTATAGAGATTTGAACATTTTCTTTGGCGTCTCCATCAATTTTTTTGAGTAATTGGGCGATCGAAAAACCGCTTTAAAATGGAAAAACTCTACAACTGTTTTCTACAACTTTTAGACTCTTCTACAACTATTTTCTGGCCACTACAATAATCCTAGGGGCTTCTACAATTATTTTAGGGCCACTACAATTTTTGGGCTACTACAATTACTAAAACAGTTTGGACCAGTTTTGGAGCAGTTTTTCTCCCGTATAAAAGTTAAAACACTGCTGTAGTCAATAACCCCCATTATTTTCGAAAATAAATAGGAGATTTCTAACGTAAAAGTATCGAATTACGCAAATTTAAGGTACCTCCCCTACAAAATGACCGTTTTTCAAACCAATTTCTATATAAAACTTTGAATTGAGCCAAAAATGGTAAGCAAATTGGTATATTTTTATTGGTTTCGCTAAAAAATAAAAGCCACTACGAATGCAGAATAGGGCATTTTTGAAGCAAAAAAAAAGTGTTTGTATTGCGGGTTGAAAACATCCTCTGAGGGCCATTTTTCGAACTTTTAGACCAATCAGACAGGATTTAGATAAGTCTCAATCGATTCCCCGTCCAAAATTACGTGGAAATAGAATCATGACAGCCCATTATAGGTGGGTTTTCTATGCCACAAATGTGATTTTGTAAGAAGATTTCGACCATACGTTTGTTCTATGAAGAAAAATCGGTTTCAGACCAAATTTATAGGTAAACCGATAAGCAATAGGCCATATTTTAATGGAATTTGGCGAATAAATAGCAGTTTTCTCGGACAAAAACATCGTAGAAGACCATGTTCGACCATTTTACCCACAAAAAGGCCGGAAAATAAGATATGATTCACTTTCCGAGGCCAATTAAACGAATATAATGGGGGTTACACACGAAATTTTATTCATCTATCTAAAGCGGCGCGACATGAACTATCTTTTAAAGCAATAAAATCGACAAAAAAATGATACGTCAATTTGACTTTTCACTTCTTTGATGCTTCACTTTTTACCTATTTTTCGGGGCCCCAACAGGGTCAAAGAGGGTAGATTACTTCGCGATTTTGTAGCCCCATCAATTCACTTTCCAACGGTACCATAGGTTTGGCAATGTGTCAACTACTTCTTAGTTAGATTTCAGTTGGCGCAAACCCTTTTTTTCGATTTTTTAAATTTTTCGCAAAATTTACACTGGGTGAACTCAAAAAAGTGAGCCGATTACAGCCCTAAGATTTTGGTTTTCTCATTTTCTATAGAAAACAAGACTCCAAGCCAAATTTCAGCCAATTCGGCGACCTCACAATACAACTCTTCTCTGATTTCGTGTGGAATTGCCGACTAAATTCTAAGTCTATAAGTCGATTTTTGTTTAACCCATTCAGTACTAATTGGTGTAGATGAATATTCAAATCTTGGAAAATTTGCCAAAATGACTTCGGGCAGGGCGATTTCAATTGTAGATTTTATGTAGTTTAATGTAGTGTTTTTACTTTTTTTATGTAGGAATAATTTTTTTGAGTAATCGGCTATCGAAAAACTGCAATAAAATGGGGATACTCAAATCTTGGTCAAAAAACGTATTTTCCACAAATCGAATTTTTTTTTTGAATGAAGAATGTTTTCGTTGTAGAATTCAAATCAATTGTCGGTTTTCAAATATGTCTGCCCGTTCGTTCGATATCGGGACGAGTCTTGAAAATTGGTCCAAAATCGGTAATACTCAAATCTTGGCCACAAATTGAAATTTCCACAAACTGAATCTTCCTCTTTTGTTGCTAGGTTCCATAAAATTGTAGAAAAGTAAAGTAAAAACACTATATTAAACTACATAAAATCTACAATTGAAATCGCCCTACCCGAAGTCATTTCGGCAAATTTTTCAAGATTTGAATATTCATCTATTGGTGTGATTTCGTGGTATTTCACAATATGTCGAAATCACCTACGGTTATTTACAGCTCTATCACACCAATTAGTACTGAATTTTGCCGCACGAAATCCACGTCGCCTCACAATTTTACACTTCGTATTCTGTATACATTATATTTAGTCTTGCAGGAAAATGACTCCAAGAGTCTGAAAAACCTGATCTTTTCGTGTTTATACAATTTGGGTACAACAGAAGATAGTTGGATCTTACACAAATATTGCCTCTGGACTAGCTAAAGAATGCTGACTATGAACAAACGAGACGATGTCTGTAGGAGGATATTCTCTTGGTTTTGATTGTTAATAAGGGTTTTACATAATATTTTGTCCATATTCTCTTTAAAAAATCTATTTCATTAGTATTTAGTGAAACATTCAAAATAAAAATTGCAGAGTTGAACCATTAGGCCTCTTCTAGCGAGTTCGGAAGGGCGCCCTTGCACTTATTCATCCGTAAATCATGGCGTATCGAAACGTGAAAAGTTTTTATAAATAAATTCACTTCAGCCGTGCAAGAATATTGTGTGCAAAATCGGATTTTTATGTGGTGTGGAAAACTATTTAGTTTTACGTCCATTATTTTCCGCGTGTACAAACTCCATAAAAGTTATTTCATTCAGAATGTATGAATGTAATTTATTATTATTCATTCGCCTACATATATTCAATTTTGCCCAAAAAACCACAGGGATCATTGAATCGTAACCGATGCAGCCGAAGTAGGTCACGTACCAGGAAATCACCTCCGATGTCACCCCTGTCTAAACGTACACAAAGTGATTTAAGAAGACGATCACCACAATCACCCAATCAGAGGAATATCAGGAGAACTCCGGAAAGTAAACGTGCATCAAATGAAATTCGCCGTAGATCTCCAGTTGCAGTAAGAATAATTTACATTATTTTCCATATATAGACAGTACAGCTAGTTGAAAAAAAATTATTGTTTGTAGTTTTATACGCGGAATGATTTCAAAAAAAAAGTATGAGCTACAGCTGTGGCTCAATCGACCGACTCACATTTAACTTTGAAATGCAACTGTATCCAGACGTATATAGGCGTTGGATTTTAATTTCAAGAAATCTAATCTATGGAATTTCAACTGTTAAAGCGATCAACTTTTTTGTAACATCTGAATGTTTTTAAAAAAACTGCACTCACATATGCATTTTTCAACTTTTTTCATTTTCCGTGTTTGCTTTTCGAAAGTGTATTGACGGAAAAATGCAAATTTTAACCTTAAACCTGTGCATTGGGCACACAGTGCCCAAGGCCTTATTACAATGCTTATATATTTATATAAATATATAATATGAATAAAACAAGTATGTTTCGATTCGTTGAATATTTGGCTACACAAAAAGCGCTAACGTATAATGCAACGTTATTTGTTTGTAAAATGAAATGCACCTGAAAAAAAAATTCAGTAAAAGTGCTTAACAACAACCGTGTCCCGATTTGTATGGGAGTTGGGCCATATGGTGCCGATCAGAGAATCATTTCAGCATAGATATTCAATTTTCTGATGAGATCTCAGTAACTGAATGCAGTGACTGCGAACGTCGCTGTGAGTAAACGAGAGCTCTACATTCAAGCGCGGACATGCATATACATTGGTTTACACACAATCGGAGTGAGTGTGCGTGCGAAAGGAGAGAAGAGAGGAGAGACGAACGAAATATGTCGCATTGAACGATGAGAGTGAACGTCTCTTGATACAGTGTCAGTGTGGCAAACACTTACTCTTTGTTTCTTGGAATTGTTGTTCCTTCTTCTTTTTCTTCTAACAAATTGGTCGGCAGCACAAACTCAAGTAAAAAAAATAAAATTCTATAACTAAACACAACAACAAAATAATCAAATATTGTTTTGGTTATTTTTTGAATGTGATTTTTTTTGCTTGTGTTTGCGCTGCCAACCAATTTATTAGAAGAAAAAGAAGAAGGAACAACAATTCCAGTATTCGCCACACTGACACTGTGTCAAGTGGACATCGCTCGATGCAACACATTTCGTTCGTCTCTCCTCTCTTCTCTTCTTTCGCAGGCACATTCACTCCGATTACGAGTAAACCAATGTATATGAACGTCCGCGCTTGAATGTAAATTGTAGAGCGCTTGTTCACTCACAGCGACGTTCGCATTCACTGCATTCAGTTACTGAGATCTCATCAGAAAATTGAATATCGTTGCTGAAATGATTCTCTGGTGCCGATGGATAGGGGGCAGCGAGTGTAACAATAATATATGGGGTTTGCGGTCCTAAGTTGTGGGCTGGGGGTTTTATGGGGGTATAAAGTTAGTACTGGATTCGAGGCAATTTTCGCTAAACATGCACTTTTAATGAATAAAGAGTCATTTTAGAAGGAAACTATGTATGGACGAAATATTTATGCTGATGTCAAGAACCGATTGTCACTTTGGTTGGGGCTGCCCTTCAAGTCTGGGGTGCATAGGAGATAAAAAATTGAAAAAACCGTTAAATACCCTAATATGGGGGTGAAATTCAATTTACTCCCCAAAACCAATAACATATTTGGATTGCCCGCCAAAAGATGGCTATATGTCTCAAAAACAAAAACCTGATCCGATCACTCCAAAGACTGTAAATCGCTCTTCAAAGATAGGCCCAGGGGCAGCCCCAACCAAAGTGACAATCGATTCTTGACATCAGCATAAATACTTCGTCTATACATAGTTCCCTTCTAAAATGACTCTTTATTCATTGAATAGCATGTTTAGCGAAAATCGGCGTGAATTAAAAAAATACGGAGTAAACGATATATTTAGGAGCGTGACAGTTCGAAAATGGTTTCCGATCAAAAATCGGTCGGTTTAAGTGCGATTGTATTGTCTTATAGTCTATAGCGGTTGCTTTTTTCTCACTTGCCAATTGGCGTAGAAGAACGACAGAGACAACGCACGCCGTTCGAGTAGGAACCTACCTCATAACGTATAAAAAGACTCGCTTCACTCGGCCTCGGTGGTTAGGTCGCTTCGCGACGAACACAGCGAAACATGAATGTGAATTTTTTTTGACTGATGAAACTAAATTTGATAAATGTGAATATCAATTGATTTGAATATCGTCGCGAAGTGACCTAGTATAATTAATGCCAACACAGGTTGAAATAATAAATATAGCAAGGAAATGAAGAGAATATATGGATCAGAATATACGTTTCAAATAATTGGTTCATGCACATTTGATTATACGTACACTGAGGAAAGATTTTCTGAAAAAATCACAGATGGTGTTTGGAAATGGCTAGTTTCCAATCTTTTTTATATGGAGATTATAAATTGTCAAACTTTTTCTGCAATACGATATTTCCAAAAAATTTGAACTATTTACAATTTCCATATAAAAAAGATTGGAAACTAGCCATTTCCAAACGCCATCTGTGATTTTTTCAGAAAATCTTTTATCAGTGTAGGTATACAAATATTTGGATTAGGTTTCAATAGTGTTCAATCAATTTACTTTTTGGAAAAAGTATATTGACTCCATTTCATTAGAAAAACAATCTTTTGAAAATTGTCTACATATGTAGGAACAATTGTTAACGCAAATACATCCATTACCAAGCGTATGTAACGGTTGAATTTGGGCCCGAAATTGGGTGTAGTTTCAGTCATTTTTAACGTCACAATGGAAGTAGAAATAAACAGTAAAAACAAATCAATTAGAATGATATAAAAACGATTATGAATCAATATTCAATATGCTAATAAATAGTGATAGTGATACTCACCTACAGGAATTATCCTGTACTCTACCTACATCTATATAGACTATAGAATATAGATAGCCATCGATATCTGGTATCGATGATGTCTGGGAGACTAAGACCTCAACCAACTCCAAATAACATACTGTTACATAAATTCTTTTGAAAAATAAAACAAAAATTGCGGCTCTATTGATATTAATGAATGTTGATGTTGGCATGTCGAATCCATGTTGGATACACGAGGTGTTGACGTGTGAACGCATCATGCAGCCGATGTCCAAAGAGTTCGCAATGCCCTGAAATAAAGAGAAAAAAAACACACACATATTACTATTGCATCAATTTCAATTCAATGAATAACATACCTCTGTACAAGATACATTTTGCAGCCGAAATGTCACGTTGCCAAACTGTCTTCAGTACTGGAGAGTCGTCAACGGGGTCTTCGGGCACAAATTCATCTGTGTACTCGATGATACCGAGTTCAGCGTCGTGAATGATTACACCTCTGCGCTCTTCAACATTGTCATCCATACCGTTTGCCGCGTTTTGTTGCCAGTTTTTACGGTAGCAAATCACCTTAGACACAAAACCACGGGGTTGATTTGGATTCTGCACTGCTGCTTGTCGCATCGCTCGTCGCTCTGATCGTAACTTCCGCTTGCTCTTTGCCACCACAATTTTCTCTGGTAGCTTCATTCCATCCGGCCAATCATCTTGATCGGGCATACACCATTCACACACCTTGACACGATCGTTCAATGTACTCAATGGAAACGGTTCGAAACATTTGGCACACAATCGTGATGATCTAGCTTCGTTCACAAATCGTATAACATTGCCTTCCATTTCCTTGAAACTCTTCTCCAATTTCCGCACGCCCGGGCATCGAACATGTTTCTTGATCTTAATTGGTGAGTTTGCAGGTGGTTGGGAAGCTCCAATGTTAATGATGCATCGTTTGCGATTTGTCTGTTGAGCAACAACAAAAACATTCAATTTTTTCCAAAGAAACAAAAATTCAATCGTAAATTCTTACCAGCATTGCGGCCACCTTGTCACTGATCCGATTGGATGTAATGATCAAAACTTAAACGTGTGTACTTTTTGGTTGTGTACACTGCAATGGCTTTCTTCATGATGGTCAATCGATGCCGTATGTAGTCACGCCAATTGCTTCCTTTTGGTGATGGCATTCGGTCATATCGCGCTCGGTAGTTTCGATCACTCTCTTCGAACTGCCCAAAGGCACGAGTCCATCGCTCTTTCTTTTTCTTACGCACTCCTTCTCCGGTCCCATAATGACACTTCTTGCTGTTGATTGTGAAGTTCATCTGTGAGATAGAAACCAAAATCGAACAATAAAAATTAAACAATGAAATGGATTCACATGACACAATCACAATAGAATGCATTCAATCGCTAACATACCTCTTTGCCATTATGAATTCGCTCTTTGTCATTATTAATCCGTTGCCTAACGGTTGCATTCCACGTCTTCATGCCCCAATCGATGCCCAATTCATAGACATAGAAGCCATCAGAGTACCGTTTACGCACCAAACCATCTTCCACTAACTTGTCGACTACGGTTTTCTTCACTGAGTACAGAATTGATGCCGATACACCATCGCTGAGAATATGTTCGAATTTTTTGTTTGCTTTCAACACTCGATTGATTTTCTCCATGTTGAAAATCATATTGAAATAATTCGCTTGATTTGATTTTGACGTGACGTCGCTTCCAGAGTGTTGCCGACCATATTCATCACGCGGAATGGTACCGGTTTCGCACATCATACGATACAAAACATCAGCGTCTATTCTCACTGCCTTTTGCATGTGATGACCACCAAATTCTTGATGTTTGGCAATGCAATGACTTGCACGATGTTGTCGTGGTGTTGTTCAACCCAGTTGAGGTGCGTTTCGATTTCTGATTGCATGATCAACCACATTGGCAATGATGCAAACCATGTATCTTCGTCTTTTGTGAATTTGGCGATATCATCGTCAGCCGGTCCGCGAATGTCTCGAACATAAAGCAGCAATCGATCTCGTTTGGCCAAGCGATCCACATAACCTCTTGTTGCGTCATATCATTTCATTGCCCATGACACTGCATTTGCCACATCTCGTTCATCGTATG